TTTACAAAAGAACAATCAAATGTTTTGCGTTTGGTAAACGCAAACGGACGGGCATGCGTCGGCAGTGCGCATACGCGGGCGTCATTAAGAGATGTGGTGCGAAAACCATAGGCCGTGACGGTTAGACGTTAGTCAGAGTAAGAAATGAATGAAGTTTAAACGGAAAAGAAACCATTAAACGTAAACGGCCTCTTAAATCGCCTGTTCTGCTAGATGTGAATCAGACGCATACTTTCTTCAAAGATATTCGGTACGAAACGCGCTATAGTGGATTTTTCACTTGACAAAACGATTTTATTAAAACACACTTCCCACACACAGGAGATTTACAGGCTATGCACCAAAAATAGGACAAGTTGAATAAAAAATACGTTCTTTAGTATGTTTTGAGGCAATTAACTTCAATCATACTTTTAAAAAACGTTGAGTTCTGGATAGAAAAACTGACAGTTGGCCAAAAAAGGCTACAGCGGCACACATTTGTGGAGACCATGTCTCGGGAGATATTGTCATAATTAGAAAGCAGTAGCAGACGCGTACCTGCTACTGCTGTCTGCTTATGTCTCTGATGATGAATCCGCGACGAATATCGAAACGTCATGCGAATAAAAGTTGTGTTCCGACGATCGAGTCGTCTTCTCAATTGTCGCAGTTTATTCTAAGCGTCAATGATCGTAAGGCGAATTATAACAAAAGCCCCAACTAGCATTGAGTACACACAGCTTTCTTAAAAAGATGAACCAACCGAGAATAAAATAGATTTTTTGATGTTAAAGGACAAGGGATAGACGCAAAATGTGAGAAATGCATGCTTACAAGCCTCTTTAAGACGGTGTCCAGTTGTCCCACTTCTGCTTGTTCGTTCGGAGCCAGCAAGGTCAACTAGGCACAACTGGCTGACGGTTAGTAGACTATTATCCTGAGTGGAGAAGACAAGGCACATTAGCAAAGCGGCGAAATCATAAAAAAGAGGTAGTAGAAGGGGAAAGATTAATAGAAAGGTACCTGAATGACTTCGTCATAATTTGGGTCATATCCGGCCCTCACAATACGAATTGTAAATATGCTGTGGCTTCTACTCGACGCCTCGTTTAGGGCGGTCGAAGCAACATGCCTCCTCTTACGACCTAGAAAGGGAAAACAAGGATAAAAGGTGGTATATGGAAGGTGATGACGGGCACGTGGTGATGGTTGAGAATATTGGCCGAAAAAATTAGCAATTAAAAGTCGACGACTGAGGTACTAAAGCGCACACCCCAGTTCCCGTATAAAAACCGGTTGCAATTAAGAAAGGCTGTCACAGGTAATATTTTCGTAATTTTGAGTTCTATCATCTAGAATTTATGACTAAAACGCAAGATATCTGGCGGAAAAAAAGATGGAAGAAAATTATTTTGGGATAAAGACAACATACCTTGGTAGAACAACTTAAGGGCCTCGTCTGCCGTCTTGACTTCCGTTTCAGTTATCCCAGGCACATAAATGTTTCTGTTGCCATCTTCACGCAGGTTATGAGACCTAGGCAAGCTAGGGGGGCAAGGTGACGTTATTGAGTTACAATACCTCCCAAGCGACGGAGTGGGTGCAAGCAAATCATGAATGTTGTTGTTATAGAGCTCAATGAATGATACAAACACCGCATAGAGCGACTTCTTCGATAACGGCACGGATTCGGTCTCCCGGACTCGGGTCTCAAAGGAGGGTGTATTGATTTCAGGTCTAGAAAAATATTATGATCAGTCAGACGGAAACCTAGAGGGTGTTCTCGGATTGCAAGTATAGTCGAGACGTTGTCTATCCATTATTGCTTCCGCCTCAGACTGCAGAACAAATCCGTTTTGTCCTGTTGGTTTGACAACCTACAGATATAACAACAGTAAGCGATCAACTACATATTTGAGCGTCGAATATGAAGCTATCGAATTGAAGATTATATCGAGGGATCTTGGCAAAAGACCGGGGTCTTCAAGATCACCCTGCATCGTGTAGGTCTTGCCGCTACTCGTGACTCCGTAAGTAAACAAGAGGGCTAACAACTAGAAAATTAGCGAAAGGGTTTACCATTTTCACCGTTAAGTACACGCTCAACGCATGGAAGCAATGTTTCCGAAAATACGAATTCTTGTGACGCCCCAGGTGCGAATACTCGGGAGAAGGAATAAAATCCCTGTTTTCCTGAGGAGCCCTGCTTTGACTGTGTGACCAACGTGCAATCATCAAGAACGCTGATACAGGTTTCTTCAGAGTCATCTACAGGCCGTACTCTGCAAAAAACCTTCACAGGTTCGGATCTTCGATCTGGACAGACCACCATCACTTGTCGTTTTAATTTTCAAAACGCGCTCACAAGCCAATGTGTATGTTTTCGATTAATTCAAACCAATCAAGTTGAATCGGGGACCGATAAAATCTCTGTATATAAAATGATAAATCCTGTGAATATACGTTCACTTTCAGCTTGAATCATGTTGGCGCTGCACTGAAAATATACCAGTTCCTAGTAAATTACCATTAAGTGCAGTTCATTTGCATCAAGCGATTCTGTCCGAAAAAGTTAACTTGAATATCGTAGAGGAAATTTATACATGTACCATTCCTGGGTACGCATACTTTGAACAATCTGCTGATTCAACCTGTCAGTCGCCTAATCTAGTGCTCTGACGGGACTTGAGTACGAAAATATCACACTTTTACATGACATAACATTTTCCGGTTTCTTCACAACCTCTATGCTCATACCAAGGTAAGCTTTAGCATATGTGAATAAAAATCACATGACATAATAATTATTGAAGAAAAGTAGACACGCTTCGTTTCAATTAACCATTTCAATACAGAAGGGCCACTATATCTACGCGGATATCCTCTGTATTCTCGTAGAATATTTTGCAGAAGACCTTGGGCCAGGAATTCCTACCCTTTCCC